GTTCCTTGATAACATTACACTTTTATGGTCCAAAGATTTGTGTGACAAATTACTGTTTCTGGTATGCCTGTCCTTCTTACTCCACAGTTAAACCCCAATATTAAATGTAGTGTAATACCAATTTTAGAGTTGCAGAGTAGCTGATAGTAAATGCGAACTCTTTAAATGTACATAGCATGTATAATACTCGATGAAGGAAGACTTTAATCCTGAGTGGGGCTACTGAGAACAATGACATTGCCGCTTGATCAAAGAAGCGTCTTTAGGGCAGGAAGCCAAAACCGACAACAAATCTGTCAGGAAAATGTCCCCATGAAATATTCAATCTGCTCTTCACAAAGAATCTGTTGACAGAGGTGCTTTGCCTGAATAACCTTCACATTTCTTATGAGAAAACATACGCTGCCACCTAGACAAGATGGAAGTGATCTTCCATGTGTTGCCTGCTCTAGAATTACAAATAGGCTCCTCAGCTATCAATGTCGTACCACGACCCCTAGGGTTTTATGGTTCTTGCCCAGTATATTACACTGAACATCCTCTTGGAGGCATTTATTTGCTTTGCTTTTGACATAATATAATTTCCCACAGCTTGGACTTTGGAAAAAAACCTTGCACCATTGAGGAAGAAGAGACAAGACTGGAAACAAGCTCCTTAGTCCTGATAGTGACTGTATAGTATCTCGTAACATCTAAGTTAGACAGAAGTGCTGTACATTGGAACTCCATCTGAGGAGAAGATACAATCATACGAGTCTTTTGCCAAGAACTGAGTATACTTTTGGCCCACTGGCTTACTGTCCCTCTCTGGTCCCTGTTAAGATTCTCTATATGTTGCCATAGCTGCAGCAGACACTTCATAGACCTTCAACATCACTTTTCTGTGGCCCATCCTATGTCCTGTATGAGGTTGTGGAGTACTAGAGGTTACTAGTGGCTTGTAAAGTAATATTCTATCGATTTCAGCACTTTAAGTACAGCAGGGAATGGCATCATATTTTGATCCAGCATAGTTAGTCTATAACTGACAAATAGTTGGGGATGATCCTGCAGAGTGCCTCAGAAGAGCTGGAGTAGAAAAGACAGAGTTCCTGAACACACAGCTGGCAAATGCATTTCTGGTCACAGTGTCCTTACAGGTAAAAAGTGTGTCGTATGATGACTTTTAACAATCATATTTTGATTTCAAAACAATATAGCGACACCCAGCATTCTCACTTCTACATTTTGATATTTTACATTTTACTCAATTCTTATTGATTTGCAATTATCGGGAGGGGTAGGGCGGTGTTCGTGAAATGGTCTTCTTGCTGGCATTCTCTACTTTCAGCTGTTGACCTACTAGCATATTATGCTGTTTGAGATTGTATTGTTTCCGTCTTTAGTGTGATAATTGGCAATTTTCTCCCTTTGGGGGTACCAAAAATGGGATTGTGTCATCTCAGCCTTTAGTTCATGCTAGCCTGATTTGGACCTTGTTGCCATGGTAACTCTTCCTGCACGAGTTTTATCAGGGGTTAAACAAAATCAGCACAGCTCTCTCTTATGCATCTGCAGTTAGTACCACTACTTTTTCTAATTCCAGGCAAGACCTTCTCACTCCACCTATACATATTTCCACCCTTTCTTATCTGTGTCAAGAAAAATTGAGCTTAGCTAGTACATTGGACTCTGCCTTAATGTGATTTTAAAGCGTACAAGGCTACTTGATGGACCAGCTTGTTCTCTGGTTTCCAGAAAAGACTGCAACACCACAAGAGGTCACCTGCAAAAATTAACACTTACACTACATAGCGGCTTATTCGTGCTCTCACACAAAAGAAATTCATTGCAGGTGTTTCAGAATAACGGATGATATTTCTTGCACAGGTGGAGGTGTAGCCTTAGCCAGTTGCCATAGATGTTTGACAGTCAGCCAAGAAACAATCTCTGCCACTGCTTAAAATAAGCAGTCTTCCTGCTTGGCAGTTCCAAACAAAGCAAGTTAGTCTCCTGTTGAAAAATGAGGAACAACGAGCTGCTCCATCTACATTCAGTTGTCTCTTTAAGCAGCACAGAACACAATCCTTTCTTGCCCATTTCTCATTTTCCTCTTATAGTTCTGTGGGAGTTAGCTAATTTCAAGGGAAATATATAGGGGCAAGAAGTTTCTTTTGCTCTGATAGTTCTGAGTGCAGATCTATTATCCCATGCTGACTTGGGCATCACTAGAGTTCGTTACATCAATATGAAATCCAAATATACAGGTGAAAAATGCAAAAGTTACAGGCAAAGTGTAAGTAAGCTCACTGAGAGCTCAGAAACTTGAGGCTATGAAAAGACTTTTCTGGAGTTCAAGCATCACAGCTTTTGCTAGCATCTTGCTTAAATTCTTGTTAATATTAGCTCTAAAATCTTAACCTTTTTAGGACTGTTCCAGCATTTAGTTATGCTCATTAAAAGATATTCTTTGCATTTAACTCATGCAACCCTTAGCTGAAGGCTATCCAAATTCTGCACCTGTTCTGGGCACTCACACATAATTTTCTTGAAGCCCTAGAAGCAATCAGGTAAGAAATCCTTTACAAGGAGAAAGCTGATTTTGGGCTAAAACTGCACTTGTTACATAGCCAAATTATAGCCATCTTTTGCTCTTTGGACAGGGCATTTAAAATCTTCCCATCATATCCAGGGTAATTAAAATACTGTCTAAATAATCCAGCATGGACATACCAACTGGGAATGTAATGATGACCTCACTGAAATAAATCCTTAATCTGGATTTCCAAAAACCATCATACCACGGACTCTAGCTGAGAGAATGATAAGAACTGCAATGGAGTGACGCTTAAGCTTTAACTCTTGCCAGTTGGCCCAGGGAACTCACAGAAAAAGAAAGTTCTTACAAAATCTTGTTACACAATTATTACATGCACTTGCCCATGTTGGCACAGACTGTAATAATCAAGAGGGATATAAAGTGCATTTTGCAGTGTTTCAGTTTTAGCGTATTGTTAACTAAGTAAACTTATATAGTACTTAATTTTAATTTAAAGGTTTATGCTTCTTGGCCAGAGTTTTCCAAAAGTATCTGCTGATTTATTCTCAGAAGCCAGAGCTCTAATAACTTCTAATTGAATCTTGATTATTATAGCTACCTTAAGTGTGCAGTGCTTGTAGGTACTATCCGGGCTAAGAAGCCAAAACATATTAACATAGCTTTATTACACAAGGTATCCAGAGGCCATGGCTGGCAGTATAGAAGACAAGGAAATCAGGAGCTGACTCTTCCTGCCTAAAAGTATGAGGTGAAGCAGTACCAGGAGAATGGGGAAACACCCCCCTACCCCTGCTTTCTCCCATTCTTGCCCACTTCCCCCAGCTTATTTATTTAAATGCTTACTTTACGAATAGATAACTCAACCAAGCACTGCCTTGTGTCCCCAGCTAGAAAGTAGGATAAGAATCTGGCCAAAAATTGAAGCTCTTACTTAACTGTGTTAAACTGTTAGCATTATGCTGACGAAGTTTGCTTGGGCTTAATTAGAAAAGAGTTTCTAATATTCAGACAGAGTGTTAGGTGGTTAAGTGACCAGGAAACAACAAATATCTTGGCAGGTGGCATCTGGCTTGAAGCAAGACTTCATATCCCTGAAAGCTTACCTCCAGCATGAAACCCCTAACAAAAAGTATGTGGTCATCAGAGAGCTCATCGCTGCAGTTTTCCATCTGCTCCTGTTACTTTTATTGTTATTGCTGTTACCACAGTTCCCAAGATCCATCTAGGGGTGCTTCCACAGAAGAGTCTTGTTTCCAGGATTTGCACCCAGAGAGACTTTCCAGAGGCCAAATCTGATCGAAATATTGTATGCAGTCACACATATCCATAGCCATCCTTTGGGAAAAAAAAAAAAAAAAGTAATAATAGTACTACAGTGAAAAGTGATTTCTTCATGAAAGAGAATTCTAAACTTCATGGGAGAACTGCTTGGGCCTTTGCCCTGGAATCTCTTCTGAGTTGCATGGTTATACTTTTTTGTTTCTGATAAGTATAGTATTATTTCCTGAAGTATAAATCAAGAAATGTCCTTCTACTATTATGATCTGATTAGCATTAAAGTTGATACAAAGCCAGACAGAGCAAAGAAAGTTCATAGGTAAGTGTATGGGGTGTGGGTGAGCTGCAGTCAGTACCCACCCAGCCCCCTCCCAGCGCTGAG